CGGGCATGGTGGCGCATGCCTGTAGTCCCAGCTACTCGGGAGGCTGAGGCAGGAGGATCGCTTGAGCCCAGGAGTTTGAGGTTGCTGTGAGCAAGGATGACGCCACGGCCCTCTAGCCTGGACAACACAGTGAGACTCTGTCTCAAAAAAAAAAAAAAAGGACAAATTCCTCTGAAGCAGAAGCCGTGCACCGTGGCGAGCTGAGTAACGTCTTAAACATACCGTGTCACCAGTGGTTCGCCACACGAGTGAGACTCTGTCTCAAAAAAAAAAAAAAAAAAAGGACAAATTGCTCTGAAGCAGAAGCCGTGCACCGTGGCGAGCTGAGTAACGTCTTAAACATACCGTGTCACCAGTGGTTCGCCACACGAGTGACACGCAAGGGACCTGTCTCGTGGCATGGGACACGTTCTCACAAATCCACAGCACGGACGTGGACTGCAGTAGGAACTGGCTCCGGCAAGACAGGAGGTTCCCAAAGGAGGAAACACAAATGACTCATAAGTGTGTGAAAAAACATCCAACCCCACAAGCAAGAGAGAATTCAGGGAGACATGCAACAGTGTTCGATTTCCACAGAGCACATTGGAAAATCAACATGGTTTTTGATACTAAGGGTGGATTTACGGAGGGGACGGGCCCAGTCTCAGCTGGTGGCAGAGAGACCCGTGGGGACCTTGCCCAGGGTGTGGGCTGGGGCGTGCGCTCGCCCCGCGGCTCAGAGATTCCAGCCCCTGGGTTTAGTTCAAAAGCCGCAATGGGCAGGAGGCGTCTACGACAGGAATTTAAAGACCACAGGTCCGTGACAGCTGTCAGCCACATGCGCTTCTAGACACATCGAGGGAGCAGACAGAGACATCACAACGCACTGTGGCCCCGTGTTCACCGATTTGGAAAATGCCAATGATACTAAGTGAAAAGCAAATAAACGTTGGCATAGTTCAATCCTGTTGTTTATATATATCTGCAGATTTTATGTATATGTAAATATATACACAGTCATGCACCAAATAACAATGTTTGTGCCAACAACAGCCTGCATATGCAACAGTGGTGCCGTAAGATTATAATATTGTGTTTTCATTGTAGTTTTTCTGAGTTTAGATACACAAACAGGCCCCACTATGTTGCAATCACCTGCAGTGATCAGCCCAATAAGAGACTCCGCAACTGTGCAGCCCAGGAGCCACGGGTCATACCGCATAGCCCGGGTGGGGTGGGGGTAGCCAGCTGTGCCTTGTGGGTCTGTGTTTCTCAGGACACGGCCCCATCATTAGGGAACACGTGACTATAAACACATTCTCCCCATACGTGTGGCTCCACGTGTGATACATGTAGAACAGATATACATAGATGCGTGTGTTGCAATGTCAATACGGGATTTTAATCTTTTCCTTATCTCTGTGTTCTCATTTTTCTGCAATGGACATGAATTGCTGGGTGTGTCCTGGGGGCCGCCGTGACAAAAGTATCACAGACTGGGGGCTACCACAGCAGGAATGTGTCCCCTCCCGGTCACAGGGAGGGCCACAGGGCCTTTGCATGACTATGTCAAAGGGTGAGTTTGTTCAGTCTTCCTAGCCAGCGACTGCGGCAGCACACGACCCACACAGAGTGACTAAATCTGCACAGGAATGTGTCCCCTCCCAGTCCCGGAGCCCGGGAGTGTGAGACGCGGGTGTCTCGGGGCCGAGCTCCCTCCGCAGGCTCCAGGGGAGGCTCCTTCCTGCCTCTTCTGGCTCCTGGGGGCTCCAGGCGTCCCTGGGCTTGTGGCCGCGTCACTCCAGTCTCTGCCTCCGTCTCCATGTGGCTTCTGCTCTGCGTCTGTGTCCCCTCTGCTGTGTCTTAGGAGGACACTGTCATTGGGTTTGGGAATCTCGGTGGTCAGGGTGCAGCCCCCGGGGAGGATGACACGGGGCATCGGACTTCAGTACCTGTGCACAGAGCTGTATGCACACAGACCCCAGCCTCCAGCCGACGTGGGTTTCGGGGGGCGTTCCCGGCCCCTCTGCGCTGTGTGTGTTCTGCGTGCGTAACTGCAGTCCGCAGCGCAGAGCGCGAGGAGGGACTGACGGGAATCGCCCCGTGCTGTGCTTGCAGGGAGCCACGACACCATGACCTACTGCTTGGACAAGAGGTCGCCCATCTCCCCGGCCCAGCCCCGGCTGCTGCGGCTGCTCAGCAAGGCTGTGCCCTGCGTCACGCTCCCCGTGGTGCTCAAGTGGTCTGTCACGCAGGTAGGTCGTAGTAGAGTCCGGCGGGCGTGGCGAAACCTCCCGCCAGCCCCGCGGGTACAGCCTGTTCCATTCGCGGGCTGCAGGTCGATGACTTCTAATTGCTCAGATCTTTGTGTTTGCAAGTGGATTTGCCTTTGGGGTCAGCTGACCGTGGTTTCCCAGGAAACGGGGAGGTGGGACTGTTTTCTTCCTTGATAACCGGTTTCTGCGATGGCCCCCGGCCCTCCCCACGGGAAACATCCCAGGTCGTGGGGCTGTCAAGATGCGTGTTCCGCCTTTAGAGTTGTCCAAATGCCTCGGGACCTGCAGCTGTGGGTTTCTGAACTAAACACCCCGAGGGCAGGGCTGGGCGCCGTGTGCTCCCGGGTTCTGCCCAGTTCTGCCGGGAGGAGCAGGCCAGGCTGCTCTTCTGCTTCCCCCTCCCGCCCTCACCCCCACCCAGGGCTTCCTCCTCTGCCCCTCCGGGAGGGTGCCCGGAGGGTGCCGGCTCTACCAGGCTGTCTGTGCAGGGATTTGCCGTCTGACTCTCCCAATGGCCTCGAGACCCGCCCTTCCTTCCAGCTGTAGCCCCGGGCGGAGGGAAGCCGGGGGTCTTGGGCAGGGTGGCCGGGTGGCGGAGGTGGGGGGGGCCCTGCGGAACCCTTCGAGAGCTCTCAGGGAATCTGCCCTAAGGAGGTTTCCACAAAGGTTTTGGGCTGAAACGTTCGGCCACCGGGCGATAGAGCAACACACACAATAGAGGCTGGAATGTCACATAGACACTGATGGGGCTTTTTCTGAGGAATAGGTGACGTCACCAGGACAGGGTTGAGAGGGGACGATGTTCACAGAGACCCGGGGTCGGGAACAGAGGGGAGTCGCTTTAATCCTGTAACTCACACATCTCGGCAAGAGCAGGACAGGCACACACCGTCCTTGCCTGTTAGAAACCTGGCGACTGGTGGCTTCGTTCCTGAAGTCCCCAGAGCTAAACAGCGGTTCACCCCGGCTGAGAGGATACAGGAAAATCTCACCGTCCTCCTTAGACTACTCTACGTTTTGCAAATACTGTTTGTTTTATTTTTTTATTTTTTTTTTGAGACAGAGTCTCACTCTGTTGCCTGGACTAGAGTGCAGTGGCGTCAGCCTAGCTCACAGCAGCCTCAAACTCCTGGGCTCAAGCGATCCTCCTGCCTCAGCCTCCCGAGTAGCTGGGACTACAGGCGTGCGCCACCATGCCTGGCCAATTTTTTTCTACATATTTTTAGTTGTCCAGCTAATTTCTTTCTATTTTTAGTAGAGACGGGGTCTCGCTCTTGCTCAGGCTGGTCTCGAATTCCTGAACTCAAAGGATCCTCCCACCTCGGCCTCCCAGAATGCTGGGATTACAGGCGTGAGCCACCACGCCTGGACGCAAATATTTTTTAAATGAGCAGCTATTTCACAATCTCCGAAATGCACTGTCAATGCGCAAAGGACTGTGTAAGGGAGAAAATTGTCACTTTCCTCCATCCCCAACCTTTAGCCAAAGAACCTCAACCACGGGAAAGCGCCGGGCCTGTGCACAGCCTCGCGGCAGGGGACCCTGGGCCCGTGCGGGGCAGGGACGTCTCTGTCCCGGCGCACAAACCACGTGGGTAGTTTCCCCTCACAGATCAGAGGACCTCAGGCCATGGCCCTCACGCTGAGCCCCCCAATTCTGGGAGGAGAGGCAGTGGGCGGGGCCTCTTTGCAGCCCCTGTGCCTCAGTTTCCCCATCTGTCAATAGGGGAGGAGGGCAGAGAGCAGAGGCTTCCCCGGTACCGTCTGCCCTGGGGTCCTTCCAGCCTCACCGGCCCCCATGTCGCCGTCATGCCCAGCCCGCCCCCAAGAGGGTCTCGCTCCCCAGCTGGGAGCAGCGCTTCTTGCCTGTCTCCCTGGATGGCGAGAGCAGGTCTGGGCTCTGCCGTAACCCTAACCCTAACACGCAGCTTCCTTTCCTTGGCGGGGGGGACTGTTTTCCTTCCTCGTTAAATTCATTTTTCATTTTGTTATATATTTTTGCTGCCGTGACTTGGATATGAACCAACTTTTTAAAAAGTTTTATGTACATTTTTGCTCTTCCTATTCTTATTCTGAGTGGAGGGGACAGTCCTACTTTCTTTTCCTGTATTTTTACATCAATTTTTGCTTTTTCCACTGTTTTGCGCAGAGAGCGCAGCACCGTCTCCTGTTCCGTTTGGCATCTGCTCGCGCTGTTCCGTGTGGCGCGGACGGCGCGGTTCCTTTTCCTTTCCTCTGTCTCTCTCTTTGCCCGGGTGCAGTTTCTGTCCCTGCTGCTGTGGTGCCTCCTGGCATCTGCGGGTCTGAGCGGCGAGTCCCGGACGCTGTCCCGGGCTGCTGGGGCCGGGCGTCCCGCCCCGACTGCGGCGCCTTCTTGGCGACCCCCAGGGAGAGGGTGACGGGGCTCTGCAGAGATGTCCCAGGGCCGGGCTGAGGGGCGTCTCCTGCAGGGGCAGGCGAACGAGCTGCCCCCATCCCGGACAGAGTCTCGGGGGCTCCGTGTACACGAGGCCGGGCCCCTGGAGAGCGGGTTTTCCAAACGCTAGGCCCTGTGGCTGTGCAGCTCCCCCCGTGCATGCGCGAAGAGCTGTCGTGAGGACACCCGTGTCGCATGCGACATCGCGGGGTGCAGGTGGGCGGGCCTCCGCCCTCTCTGAGTCCCGAGACGTGGCGATGAGCCTCAGAGAGCGGCCTGCTGGCCCCAGGCAGACGCGACGGCCGCCTTTGTCCACAGGCGTTGGACGTCACCGAGCAGCTGGACGCCGGCGTGCGGTACCTGGACCTGCGCATCGCGCACATGCTGGGGGGCTCGGAGAAGAACCTGCGCTTTGTGCACACGGTGTACACGACCGCACTGGTGGAGGTACGGCTGGGCGGGGCGGGACGGCTGGGCGGGGCGGGACGCAGGGGGAAGGGCAGGGGACAGCGACCTTTCACGGGGACGGAGCAGCCGCTGCGGGTCCAGGAAGGCGGTGCCGACCCCTGGCGATCAGTCGTGTGGGGTTCTTGACCCACGTGCATTTCTGAGCTCGCACCGGTGCCGCCCGGACTTTGCGGAGGTCTCCTTAGCTGGCCCCGTCCCCAGGCTTCCCTGAGACGTCCCGGACTTTTGCAAAAGTGAGTCGATTATCTCCCTGGCCCCGGTTGAGGGTTTTTTCAATTCATTCTCTTCCCGGCTGCCACAGGGGGTTCTAAAATCTGAATGTGATAAGTCACTGTTCTGCTTAAAGCTTCAGCAGCTCTCTGCACCCCACTTGAAAGCCCCCCAGCACCCCTGAGTCTGGAGGCGCCATCCCTGGGGCTCACTGTGCACCTGCTATTCCCTGCTGGCTCCCTGAGCTTCCCGACTTCACACCGTTGCATAGACGGTGCCTTCTGTCTGGGTGTGCATGTGCACAGACATGCCTGCTCACACATGTGCACACACATACGTGTGCACCAAAATGCACACACGCGTGCACATAGACATGGCACACACAGAAACACGCACACATGCATACACACATGTATACCAACATGAACAGGCACACAGACACCACGTGCACACACAGGCATGCCTGCTTGCACATATACACACATACATGTCCACCAACATGCACATGAACACGCACACACAAATAGACACTTGCACACAAACACGATGAGGTGCCGTGAGGGCTGCCTGGCTGTGGTTCTGCCGGACTGTGTTCCACGGGGCAGCTGCTGCATTCTGTTTGTTCACGACCCGACACCCCCATCGAGTGAGTTTTGCCCTTGGAAGCCCCTTTGCCGGGAGGAGCTTCCTCGAGCCCCCGCAGCAGTGTCCACATGACTCAGCACCCCCTGTTCCCCCCCAGGACACCCTCACGGAAATCTCGGAGTGGCTGGAGAAGCACCCCCGGGAGGTGGTCATCCTGGCCTGCAGGAACTTCGAGGGGATGACGGAGGACCTGCACGAGTACCTGGTCACCTGCATCAAGAACATCTTTGGGGACATGCTCTGCCCCCGAGGGGTGAGAGGAAGGGGATGGGCGTGTCCCCTACGTCTCTCCTGGGGGGTTGACAGCCTCAGTCTCGGTTTGCTCACCTGGTGCCCCCCATGTGTGATCACTGAGGAATCCAGGTGAGATGGCTGAGAGGTTCTGGGTGAGATTGCTCAGATGTTCCAGGTGTGATCGCTGACATGTTCTGGGTGAGATCACTGAGGTATTCTGAGTAAGATTGTTGAGGTATGACACATGAGATTGTTGAGGTGTTCCGGGTGTGACTGTTGAGGTATCCTGGTGGGAGCACTGAGTTATCCTGGGTGAGATGGCTAAGGTATTCGTGTGAGATCACTGAGTTATCCTGGATGAGATCGCTGAGGTATCCATGTGAGATTGCTGAGGTATCCATGTGAGATCACTGACGTATCTATGCGAGATTGCTGAGGTATCCGTGTGTGATCACTGAGGTACCCGTGTGAGATCGCTGAGGTATCCATGTGAAATCCCTGAAGTATCCATGTGAGATTGCTGAGGTATCCGTGTGAGATCACTGAGGTATCCCAGGTGAGATAGCTGAGATATTACACATTAGATTGCTGCAGTATCCTGGTAAGGTTGCTGAGATGTTCTGGGTGAGATCGCTGAGGTGTCCCAGGTGAGATCACTGAGGTATCCATGCGAGATCACTGAGGTATCCTGGTGATATCGCCGAAGTATCCTGGTGGAATTGCTGAGGTATCCATGTGTGATCGCCGAGTTATCCTGGGTGAGATCACTGAGGTATCTGTGTAAGATCGCTGAGGTATCCATGTGAGATCGCTGAGGTGTCCCAGGTGAGATCTCTGAGGTATCCACGTGTGATCACTGAGGTATCCATGTGAGATCACTGAGGTATCCTGGTGGGATCACTGAGGTATCCATGTGAGATTGCTGAGGTATCCGTGTGAGATCACTCAGGTATCCGTGTGAGATCACTCAGGTATCTGTGTGAGATCGCTGAGATATCCACGTGTGATCACTGAGGTATCCGTGTGTGATCGCTGAGGTGTCCCAGGTGAGATCGCTGAGTTATCCATGTGTGATCGCTGGGGTATCCGTGCGAGATCGTTGAGGTATCCATGTGTGATCACTGAGGTATCCGTGTGTGATCACTGAGGTATCCGTGTGAGATCCCTGAGGTATCTGTGTGAGATCGCTGAGATATCCACGTGTGATCACTGAGGTATCCGTGTGTGATCGCTGAGGTGTCCCAGGTGAGATCACTGAGGTATCCGTGTGAGATCACTGAAGTATCCTGGTGAGATCGCTGAGGTATCCTGGTGGAATCGCTGAGGTATCCATGTTTGATCTCTGAGGTATCCATGTGAGAGCGCTGAGTTATCCTGGGTGAGATCACTGAGGTATCCATGTGTGATCACTGAGGTATCCGTGTGTGATTGCTGAGGTATCCATGTGTGATGGCTGAGGTATCCATGTGAGATCGCTGAGTTATCCATGTGTGATCGCTGGGGTATCCGTGCGAGATCGCTGAGGTATCCCGGTGGGATCACTGAGGTGTCCCGGGTGTGACTGCTGAGGTGCTGGGTGAAGCGATTCGGCAGGTCTCCTCGCTTCCACAGCGAGGGGCCCCTAGGTCCTTTGGCCCGGCTCCTGCAAGTTAGACTGACAGGAGGCAGATTAACAGGAGGAAAGCAAGTTTGTTAACGTACGCGTTAATCTTTGCTGCACTCACTGCTCATCGAGGGGTGTCGTCTCAAACTGGGTGCGTGTGTGCTGGGGCTGCTTTTAAGGACCACGCCTTGCGTCCTCCTCGGGATGCGGATGCTGGAGTAGAGACAGCCTCGAGCCCCGGCGCCCTCTCACCCACACCTCCTACCCCGTCCCTCCCAGGAGGTGCCGACGCTGCGTCAGCTCTGGTCGCGGGAGCAGCAGGTCCTGGTCTCCTACGAGGACGAGAGCTCCGTGGGCCGGCACCGTGAGCTGTGGCCGGGCATCCCCTACTGGTGGGGGAACAAGGTGAAGACAGAGGCGCTCATCTGCTACCTGGAGTCCATGAAGAGCTGCGGCCGCCCAGGTACCGAGGGGCTTCCCACGGGGCCAGATTCCACGGCGCCGGGTGCGTGTATCTGCTGCCCGGCCACGGGTTCACCTCCACTTTTTTTTTTGAGACAGAGTCTCACTGTGTTGCCCC